AAATTTATTTAAATGCTGTTGAACTCGGTTACAAACATTATAACTAAGGACTTCATATTCTTCAGTCATAGTACCCACATGCTAATTTGGGACCTGAAACAAGAAAAAAAATACTTATCCTTAAGATGATATTTTTTACAGCTACAAATCCTCCTCAGTTTGTTTTTATACATAATCACTTTTAATAGCCTTCAAATTAGACACGGACAAAGAGCATTATCTTTAAAAATCCCTGCAGTGTTATAGGACTTGTGAAACAATGATTCTAACTCCCATGTTGTTTTCCAGGAAAACAAAGACTGTGATTCATTCACTCTCATTAATAAATAGCCAGATGCTCACGAAGTAATTCAACACAGATAAGACAATTTGTATAATAAAGGGTAGGGTCTCAAAGCTGAATTATTTAGTTGTCTAAAACATTAAGTCAAACCATCTGTTTTAAAACAAGTATATGTACAAAGGACTATTTTTTCCAAATAAACTCCCAAAACTGACTGGGAAAAACTTTATGTACTGCACATTCCTCTTTTAATAGAGAAGATTACATGAGCAAGATAAATGTAAAATTAAAATACAAAGTTTGTGACATTAATCAATATAGTGAGAAAAAAGTCCTAGAGACCTTTAAAGTTTACCTGAAGATGGAGATATTTTTGCTGGTGTTTTTTTTTTTCCCTCCTAGCAAAGTTAATATTTGAAAACTGGTACATGTTTTAGAAGATATCTATTCCCAATTCTGCATTGCAGCATGGACAGCACTGAACAAAACCAGCTTGCAATAATGTGCAACAAAGATATGTGTAAGCAAATAATAAATTTTGGTGATAGTAGATAAGGCAGTGAAAAGAAAAAGGCACCTGAAAGGCAACAGAATGAGACAGGACAAATAAAATTAAAGGATGAGATATCAAAGCTTATTTTATAATCAGTTTTTAAAAAAAACCCATCAATATAGAGAAGCTAAGTTTTCCATAAAAGAAGTACTAATGTTTATCTCCAGAATATTAGATAACTGCAGTTGGACAAGACAGAGATATCCCACAGTTTCTGTTCCTTAATGGGATATTTTCTACTACCTCCTCCTCTGCTCCTAGCTTACTCCATGTTTTTACTTCTGTGATTTTGATAGTAAAAATCCAACCTTCATAAAAGTATTGTTTTCTGCCAGGTTAGTGAGCAGAATTGCCTTACAGAGGGGGCTGGGCAAGTGCCAGCACCAGTCAAATGCTGAAGGCCACTGGAGTAGGAGGAGACATGCAGCTAGGAGCAGGGGAAGGTAAATATAGAAGCCTAAATTTAGACCTTTTCCTCCAATTGCATAGCACTTTGGTGCTTATAACCACTCTCATCTGTAAGTCACACCCTGTTTAAACCACCTACTGCAGAAATTTTTGTGATAGAAAGATGAAGGTAAAAAGAAAAGGATCAGTGGATTTGTTTTTATAAACAAAGTCACTCAGCTTTAGCCAAAGAGAAGAAACAGGTTCACTTGCATTTATTTTTGAACTGATTCTGTTTCTGATTTCTGTTCAAATTTCAATAAATTTGAATTGATTCTGAAATACATGGTAGATACTGTGTTTGTTGTTTGAAATTATTAAGGTTGAAAAACTAACAAAAAATAATGTCTGCTTTTAAGTACTTATAAAAAAATTGTCATTTGCTGGCATCTGGCTAAACTCCTAGATTTACTGTCCTGAATAATTTCATGACCCCTGTGAATAACTCCTGTGTCCACAGAATGTACATTTCAAAATGAACATCAAAGTGGTCCCAGGACTCACTCTGTATGGTAGAATTTCAAAAGGAACCAGTATAAACCACCAAACACATGGCTGGAAGCAATATTTCCATCATAAGCTCCAAGCACCAGTGAGTACTGCTTACATTTACACAGCACCCCTTCAGTGCTGACCCTTAAGGAGCTCAGTGCACACTCATTCTTCCATTAATTAAGTGCATGAGCAACACATTCTTGGGGGACTTATGCTGTGAGGATATGCTTAAACTCACCAGAATGAACTCGTGAACAAGCACAAAGCTGATGTATAAGGTTCCAAACTCACTTAGATTTAATAGCAATTTTTACCTTGGCTTTGTTTCATGTTCTAAAACCACTTAATGAATATAGTGTGGATTTGGTTTCCCATCATCTGGTGCTATTTCTATTTGGTTGGTTCAGGTGTATTTAATCGGGTTTTTCTTCAAGCTTTTTGAGTTGAATTACATTTTTTAAGATGTATCTAGTGGCAATATTAGTCAGATACAAAAAAGCAGATAGGGCAAAACCCACAGACTTAACCAAAACTCAGTCTGACTTCGTTCTCATTAGCTGAAGGAGATAAGATCTTGATTAAATTAGTATCAGATAAAACCCTAGTGGATACAAATCTTTTTTAGCTGTTTTTTGTCTGCTGGCACTTAGAGAATACACACTCCTGTATAAACATAACTTACCAGTGGCCATTTATGGAGCATCAGGGAAGAGCCACACAATTTATGTAATCTGTAACAAGAGAAGAAATAAAGGAGTCCAGACTTACACTTTGCTTCCATAGTAAAATGGAAAAAGTAATTTATAAAATATGAGTCTTACCAAAAGAACAAAAATATCTACATGGATGTTTGTTCTGAGGTTTGCTTCTGCTCACATGCAAACATTTCAAAAGCATTGTCTAGCCTTATGATGCTGTCCTAACTTGGATCTCTGATGCCAACCTCTACAGTGTTTTAAGTTCTCATAATCCAGGTGGTGAACTTCTATTTTGAAACCCTCAAATGGGCACTTTTTCTAAAAAATATTTTTCAAAGTTCTAAGGTAAAATGTCATTCTCTATACTTCCATACTATGCCTAATAATTTGTTTTCTATGCCTTGTCAGTTCCCATCTATTTCTTGTTTCTAAAGGCAATTTTATAATTAGCTCACATTTTATGAGTCCATTTTTTTTTTTTTTTTTTGAGGAGTGAATGCTGTCTACAGTAGATTCAATCATGGGAGAGCTTAAAATGCAGTCTAGCAACAACTGAAATCAGCTGCATCTTTTACATTCACACTCAATCCACCTTTTGATTAAGGTGTGAGACAACTGTTGCAAACACCCATCTACCTGAAAATCCTGCACTGCAGAACAAAGGGCACCAGCACATTTGTAGAATCACTAAGTGCTATTACCATCTAATGTCTGCTTTCTGGTTCATATTATCTTTGTAACAACAATCAGTTTCATACTGTAAGGATGTGATTCTATTCTGGGGATGTCATCAATGTTTTTATCTTCTGTCAGTGCTGTATAAGTGGCTTAAAAACAAAGTTGCCTATCAGGGCTGTTAAGCTCCCAGAAGGCAGCAGACTGGTTTTGTTTGCTGCTTTGCAACACTGTCAGTAGCTTCAGCAGGTAATAGATTTAGAATAGTTTGTATTTGACAAAAGCCAAAGAGTTGAGACAAACATAATTAAAGAGCTGAGATGATCAGGTTCCTGCAAATGAGAGTTTGTTTTGCTGTTGTGCTTTATAGTTTAGAAATAAAGTCTAATGTTATTATTGTTGTGTGCACTTAAAAAGCCAACTTTTAACAAAAAACCCCCCAACTTCTTAATTAATTTTTATCCAGACAGTGTAATGAATATCTGGAGATATAGATGAGCGCAGCAGTTGCTTGGTAGCCTGATTGTCTCTGTGACAACAAAGGAAAACAACTCCTTGATAAAACACACAAACTTTGAGGGAGGAAGCAGAGTGGAAATCAGAAATGTAAGCCTTGTAGCAATAAAATTGGACTCCACTATTGCATTTACTAGTGCATTTATGGGTACTACAGTGCATAGTTTCCCTTTCGCTCTTCTTTTACAGCCTTATAATTTTTATTTGCCCCTAAGACTTTTACCCTCTTGAAAAACTTCACATCTTACTTATCTGTCAGATGGTAGATAATAACCTGGACCAGGGCAGGGAGGAGTAATTAAATTATTTAGAGTGAGACTACCCTGTCTCCTGAATGCTGTTGTCCTTCCAGGCACTGAACCATCCCTTTGCCTCACAGGGAGCAGCAAAAAGGCAACAAAAGAACATTAAGAGGGGGCTGTGGCCTGGGGTTCACTGGCTTAGACTGGGTAAAACTATTAATCTGCTAGTGGAAGACAAGAAAGCTTTCATTACACCCCAGGTAAATCTGCTGAACGGTCAATTCCTGCTATTATAATCAGGCACCATGGGTCACTTTTAATCATGATTCTAGGAAATCCATTACTATTTTAACAAAACCAAATTTTGGGTGTAGCTATGCCCCTCTTGGAGGCTGGAACACACCAATGGTACCGTTCTATTTTCATTTGCATGTCCACTATGAATGGCACGTAGGACCTATGCAGTAGAAACCCAAAATACCACCAGATTGTAGAGTTTCCACCCTCTCAGGCCCCTCAGTCTCAAGCGTGAGGGTCTTTCAGGAGGTGTAACCCATGCGGGTGTAACTCATGTGGATGTAACCTTGTGCAGCGTCCGCCGGGGCTCCTCGAGAGCTCCGTGTGCCCGAGGCCCTCAGGGAGCGCGGGGTGAGGGCAGGGCCCCCGGCCCGGGCTGCCAAAGGCGCCGTGCCGTACCGTCAGCGCTAGGGCTCTCCTGCATCCTGCCCCTGCGGGGAAGCGGGAGGCTGGTCCCCCGCTCCGGCTGCGGCGGGGGAGGCGATCCCGGCTCTCCTCACCCACCGGTAGCGGAGGGGCCGACGCGAACTCCGCGGGGCAGGCGGGAGCTCCGGCCCGGCAAACACTTCCCGGCGCACCAGCGGGTGCCGGGGGGTCCCGCGCAACCCCCGCGGAGCTGGTGGGCTCCTTCCGGCCTCTCCCTCGGGGCGACCACGCGGGAGGTAGCGGATTTCTGCCGGGGAAGGGCGAGGAGGCGACGGAGGCGGTGACGGAGGCGGCGGTGCCGGGGCGGCGCGGCGGGAAGGCGGCGACGGCGATGCCGGCGTGGGGGGGCGGGGTTGAGGGGCCGCCATCGCGTGTCGGGTGGCAACGGGCGGGGAGCATCCCGAGACAGCTCCCGAGACAGCTCCGCGGGAGCGGAGGTAACGCGGTTCCGGCCGGCGCGGCCCGGGTGGGGTTTCGGCTTCCTTCCCCGCTTTCCTTCAGCTCCCTTCACCTTGAGGGAAGGCGGGCAGGGAGCGGCCTCAGTGCAGGGGCTGCGGCGGCAACGCCTGTCTGCGGAGCATCTGGGGCGGCGGCGGCTTTGGCGACCGGGGCTGCCGCAAGCGTGCGGTGGTAGCCGGATAAATGCCGTGTGTGTTTCTGTATTGTCTTTAAAGGGCGCCCCGACTCTGACAGCCCCTGTCTGAGGCGGCTGCCTGCAGCTACTTCCTTCCCGGGGCTGTGTGAACCTCACTTGTTTTATGAGGATAAAGAGGGTCAGCACCGCTTGTGGGGAGCGGAGCGGCCTCCGAGGGTAGCAGTGACACCTCTGGACATGACCCCCCTCCTGCGGCGGGAGCCCTCAGGCCGGCGGCCGCAGCCCCTGGGGTCACGCTTATGGCGACTCGAGGGTGGCTTTGTGAAGCCACGTGTTCCTTCCGTGCCTTTTGGTGGTGGGTGCTGATAACCAGAACTGCTCCCTTAGCGGGCTGTGGCAGGGCGCTGGAGTGGGCTGAGCGAGACCCTCAGGCCAGCACACCTTTTCTTGCTGACGTTTAGCAGTGATTTTGGTTGTTTTATATGTTTTTAAGTGGAGGGTATTAACTACAGTCTGATCAGGTGCTGTTGTAAGTGCCACCTAAAGAGCACACATGGGTGTAGTGCGTGCCTTTAGGCGTTATTCCCCCATCGTTTGTAGAGGTTTCCACTTTTCTGCCCCAGCATGAAAAATAAGGTGAATTACATTAACAAACTCTACGGTTGTTCCTTCTGTCTTTACCTGGGGCTTATTGTATAAATTTCACCAGATGTTCCACTCACTGCAGCAGCTTCGTGCACTCCCAGCCTAAATCAAGACTGATCAAAGTCCCTGTTATGAGCTTACTTATGTTTTATTCCTTAGAAATAAGAAAATAATGAAAAATACAAAAATATGACTCACTACTGATAAACTATTCTATCAAGTGAAAAAATTGTCATAGTAACTTCTCTTTCATACTTTTTCACATGATAAAACATATCTTGTTTTTTTAAATGGATGTTGCAACCAATTCTATTTGATAAAAGTTTGTTGGTAGGATTTCTTTTTTATTGTGCTAAAGATGGTGTGTTTGTATATGCAAGCACAAAATACTTGGTTGAACAGATCTTTACAGTGGGAATTGTTTTTGTTGCACGGGCTTCCTGTCTGTTAAGCATATGTATGGTAGGGCAGTGATTCTTCTCTCACCAGAAAAGGATATCCTAGGCAAACTCTAAGCCTTTCCCATGTAAATATTCAGACTATGAGGTGCCTAAATATATACATTGCAATGAATAAGCATTTCTGGACTTACAGCCAGAAATTTGCTCTGTTGGTGCTTAACTCCCTGAAGACTTTGATGCTGTTTGCCTGTATAGAACAATCTTGAATATTGCTCATAGGGCCAGTCATTGTTTTCAGAAATAGGAGTCTGACATCTGATATATGTGAACAGCCAATGTAAAGCTGTGTTACAATGAGAGTTGTTTTATGCAATCAAGAGCTAAGGAAGACAGAAGCAAGAGCACCAGAAATCTTTGCTAATGAGCAGGTATTGTATAAAAACACAGCAAACACAGTAAGCTTTTAGCAGTTTTCTACTTCACCTTGGTCATTAAATCACTTGCAGGTTCATCCCAGGTCGAACAAGTGACAAGTGTTCTGCTCAGTGGGAGAAAGGGGATCTTGCCAGATGGTTCCTCTTTCCCTCCCCTTAAAGGAGGGCCATGCTCTAATGCAGTGTTAGTACACTGCTAATTACATGTTAAGCTTCATCAGCTCCGCTGGTACCTGGACCTGGCTGCAGTGTGGTGGGCCTCACCAGAAGGGACATCCTTGGTGAAACAGTGAAGTGGCCCTAGTTTCAGGTCACTCTGTGCTGGTTTCATATCACAGCTTTCTATAGCAACAACGGAGTCATTTCAGTAAAAAAAAAAAAAAAAAAATCTACACATATCAGCAAAAAGATTCCTCACAGCTGCAGTGATCAGCAAAAAAAAAGAGTTGAAGACACTGTTGCACAAGGGTGAGCGATGAGGAAATCCACGTGTTGGTTAGCTTGTGTGGAGGCAGAGCCCTGCGTTAGCCACAGCACTCCTGTGGTCAGGCTTTGGCAGCGTTAGAGACTGTTCTGAAAGTATTTTTAGCTGCAGTATATTAGGGTTATTGTGTGTTAGAATATGCATACTATTTGTCTCTGTTTCTCCTCCTCCAAGCTTCTTTTCTGTTCCCACTGGAATAATGATCTTGGGACAGAATAATGGATTTTGATATATGTGTTTTTTCTCTGACATATCTTCAGTTTTCTATAGTCTCTACTTTCCCTCTTTCTTGGTAAGTTTTTTCCAGTTGGTCAAAGCTGCAGATTCTGATTCCACTTAAGATTAAGTGAAGTGCTTGAGAGAAAAAACCTGCCAACAGTTTTGATTTTGTCAGAGGTGGTATAATGTATCACCTGAGTCAGGCAAACAAGCAATTCCTGCCCTGAAGGCTTTAAAAGGCATATAAAACAAACAAGACTAGGGAAGAGAATGAAGTATCAAATCTTCATTGAGCTGTTGTACACACCTTCAGGCAAATCCTAGTTGTTGGCAGATTCCCAAAACTGGGAATAACAAAAGCAGGAGGGGAAGGAGAATTGGGGGACAAAATAGTCTAGGTTGAGAGATACTGTGATTGTTCTTTCCTGGGTGGAGAGAGTAAGGCAAGAAACAGTCAAGGTCATGGGTAACAAAACTGTATAAAACTGCAGTCACGTGCTGCTAATTGAGGCGGATGCATTTGAACAGTGACTGAGTCTGTAGCTGCAGGTAATTAAATGCACCTCTGGTTTCCCATGAGGTAAATCAATGATGGTTACTCTTCGTGGAAAACTGGCTCTGCATTAACACACCAGGTTTGATGGGATTTGAATTATTCAATTGACTTAAATCATCAAAATGCCTGAGTATTCCAAGTAATGTGTATGCTTCTGATGAATTTGTACTTTGGAAGTGTTCAGGAGGAAATGGAAATGATGATTAGGATATGTGAGCAAGAAATCCTAAAGCTGTGTAGTTACCACCAAAACGGTGTTTTACATTAGTGATCAGTTCTTAACGTATTTATGCAGTTTTGTCCTTTTGCCAGAAGGGCTGAAAATGAACATGGCATGTTTTCAAACGAATGTTCATGTGTTACTAGATGCACAGGTAGTTTGGGTGACTGCTTGTTGACCTTTCAAAATTCCCATATTCAGGTTTTTTGTTGTCTCAGCTGACAAGGTTATTGTTGCAGTTAGAAAAAACCACTAATTTGTAAAATTAGTGTTATCTCCAAAAAAGCACAAAATCCAGCCCACACTAGATTATCTGCTTTATTCTAATTGACCCAGATTTTCACTTTTTTTTCTATTCTATAGTAATTAGCTGAAGTACACACTAAAGTTTTAATCGGGGCAGGGCAAATGAATAGTTATGAAAATAATTCTGGTATATATGTAGGGCCTGTTTTTTTTTAATGCAACTAATAAGCTAGTGATCTTAAACTTGTGTAAAATGGGTCTAATGGGTCTTATTCAGAATGAGCAATGTCTTTTTTAGCTGAGAGATTTTATTAGCAGTAATTTGCTTTTGGAAGGCATGGGAGCATTTTCGGGAGACTTCAGAAGAAGGGGGCTCTTTTCCAGTCAGTCAGTTCTGAAGCAGAGGAAAAAAGTTGATTTCTGTGTCCTTAGATACTGTTAAATACAACTGCTAATGGAGGAATTTGGATTGAAACTACTGTGGGTTTTTATGTACAGTCTGTACTTCTAGATAACTGAGTGATGAGGCAGTGGGGTCTGGATAAAGACTTCTGCAGAGGGAGTGAAGAGCTGCGGTGTCAGCTAGAGGTCAAGGCTTGGGTCAAGGGCACAGTGGAGTGAGCACCTCTGCCCCTGTGGCCCTCAGCAGTTGATAACGTGTTACTAGATCACTCATGAATTACCTGTGTAGGCACAATGCTTGGATTGGTAGTTTTGGTATTGCAGTACATCTGTGTTCATGCCTAGAACTTCCATCTTGGTCTCATGGTACTTCCTTACCTATAACATCTCACTGTCCTTCTTTCTGGTCTTTCTTCTGGTCTTCTCAAGATAGGAGTCCTTTAATTCTGTCCTTCCTCCAGTTTTGCTTGTTTTCCTGATGGTAGCAGTTCCTCTTTCATTCCAAGTTATATAGGAATTTGTCTCTTGGTTTGTCTGGGTTGGTTCTGCTGTTTAACTGTGCATGAATTTGACTTTGTGTAAAAAGAACCAAACATGAAGCAACAAAAGGAAATATCCTAATTTATATTTGTAAATCATAGGGTAAAAACATGGAAAGAAGATTTTGCAAGAAAGTCCTGGGATAAAAAAATAAAATAATGATTTCAGCTGTCTATATTTTGTTTTAGATTGTGATTTGGAGTCGTGGAGAATTCACAGTCTTTCCACAATGGCGGAAAGGACAGATTATACAAAATCACAAATTTCACTGGCTGAATACAGCCCCGTCAATAAATCAGAAAGGACAGATCAAAGTGGAACACAGGATGGAGACCAAAATACATTGCAACTGAAGAAAGAAATATCTTTAATAAATGGGATAAGCCTTATAGTAGGCAACATGATTGGTTCAGGTATCTTTGTCTCGCCCAAAGGAGTTCTCATCTACAGCAAATCTTACGGATTGTCTTTAATAATTTGGGCAGTTGGAGGGATATTTTCAGTCTTTGGAGCTCTCTGCTATGCTGAACTTGGAACCACTATTACAAAGTCAGGAGCCAGCTATGCATATATCTTGGAGTCTTTTGGGAGCTTCATTGCTTTTATTCGTTTGTGGACCTCACTCCTGATTGTTGAACCAACCAGTCAGGCAATCATTGCCATCACCTTTGCTAACTACATAGTTCAGCCTTTCTTCCCTTCTTGTGACCCTCCGTATGTGGCTTGTCGTCTCATAGCAGCTGCTTGTGAATGTAAGTATTTATTGACATTTACTATGGTAAGTTTTTGTCCAGGGTATGTTTTATTGAAACATCTTACCCACACTCAGAGTTGGTTCATACTGGATCTGCAATGGTTTGAGCTATAATGGGGAAAAGAACAATTGCAGCATGAGAAACTTGCAGGTGTTCGTTCAGTCAGTGAATGACCATTTTCTCATTTGGAAGCAGAACAAGGTGTTGAACTCATCCAGGCTTACTAACCTGGCAAAAATGGGGGTAAAAATTGTTTTCCCTTGAGAGAGGTATTTCAAATCAAACCTTGTGATACTCTTGGTGTGGTCTGAAGAGCTAGGATGGCTCTTATGCCATAAATTCTGAGAGGTATTTCAAATCAAACCTTGTGATACTCTTGGTGTGGTCTGAAGAGCTATTGCAGGATGGCTCTTATGCCATAAATTCTGGTGTCATTTGGTTTGCAATAATTTCTCAATGGTTACATGTTTCCATTACTACTGTGGTTTCAAAAAATCATTCATTCAAGATGATTCTTTATGCTTGGAATTAACTGTAAGATCCGTACAGCAGTATGTGTGGTAAAGCTGTTTTGAAAAGTGGAAATTTTGTATGCACATAAAATTGGAATATTTGTATTCATATAGCCAGCTCTGTTAGTATACAGGAACAGCTGCCCACACACTTCAAACTAGGACAGTTCTGCTGTATCAAAAGAATGAAACTGTATGATTGAATTGTGTGTGTCTTAATTAATTTTAGGTGTTTCCTATTAAAAGTGTTTATATACATATTTTACATTTCCAGTAAACAGTGAAAACTGTATTTCAGCAAGTCTGTAGGACAATGCTTTTTGATGTACTGATCCATAGCCATGTGCTCTGGAGCCTGTCACCTGTATTGATGATTTTATATCAAAAAACTAACACAGAACTTTTGGACTCTTTTATTGCCAGCAATATGCTGCAAGGACACATGCTCCTTCTAGTTGTTTCCTTTTTGAGGCATCTTTTGGAAGAGCTCTAATGTTCCTTATTAAGTTGTCTATAAAGGATAAGGAAAGGGAAATGACAGAGCACGTACTTTGGATATTTGACCTCTGTAACTGGTTGTGATTGCAGTTTTCCCTTTCATTTTTGTTATTTTCTACTGTTGTGGAAGCATTAACATGCTGGTTGAGGACCAAGTAAGGGGAAAAATAATCACAAACTTCTTCCAGGAAATCTGTCAGTTTAATCAGTTCTGTTCCCTCCTTCATCCAAATGAGTGAAGGGCCTGTAGTGTCATGTTCACATTCCTTAAACAGGTATTGTCCCAAGGTATCTTGGCACAAATTCAAGACTGTAGGAGAATCTGCTCTTCCATTTAAGATATCCCCTCACTCTGAGGACAGTTAGCCCTTATAAAAAGGAATTTGTTAGAAAACAATAAATTAAGACAAAGTGATTAAATTAAAATTATTATATAGTAAGTATAGAAAAAGTGTGATGTCCTCTACATATGCTGCTAGTAAAGAGGATTTAGCACCTCTTTTTTTAGTGGAGACACATGACAGCAGGATCGCTCTCAGGCAGGTGGAACAATTTAGGCTAACAGTCTGTTTTATGGTTGTTAAATGCTTGTTATGCCCTGCTCTGAGTGTCAGTGCTAAGACTCATCCCTGCTGTACAGCTTCATTTGGCTGTTAAAGCTTAGACTTCTCCCTGTCTTGGCACGGCTGATGTTGTTTGTGACATCCCTAGCTCTGGATATGATTAATCCTTTAATAATGAAGCTGCTGGGAGTGGAAGTCTGCACATTGGTCGGGTACAGATTGCATGTGAGACTGGGTGGGTTTGTTGTGAGGTTTAGTTTCGTTTGTTGGGATTTTTTAATTTTAGTAATAGCAATACTAGAGCTAGTGTGAGAACAGTCTTCGTGTTATGCAGCATTACTTTGACAATCATTTTGGCAGTGGGGTGTCACCTGGTGCTACAGTACTAAACTTGAAAGTTCTCAGAAACTTTAAGTGACTAAACAATAATTAAGTTGAAGAAAACAGTATTTTTAGTAAAACAAAGAGATTTGGCTTATTCAGAATATTGATAATTTTTCTTTTTTTTTGCCCTTATAAGGTATCAGAGTATCATTTCATCTGAAGTAGAGACCAAGCCCTAACTCACTAATAATAATTAATCCCAATGAAAGTTGCTTTAAAAAATATAGCAGAAATATATATATAGCAGAAATATATATAGCAAATATTCCAGTCACTAATACTGAAGCGCAGAGTCTGAGCAGAGTTGTTTTTTTTTCCTGAAGGCTCTTTGGAAGCTGCAGCAGTCCTGACTTTTGAAATTTGATATGACTGAGTTTTTTTTCCCCTCTTCTTGCCATGCTCAGTTGAGCCTCATGCAGCTTGTCCAGACTGTGTAACATAAGAGTGTCATACTTACCCGATAATTACCTTTCTTTTGTTAGCTTCTAAAAGTTACTGTTTTCAATTTGGTAGCTGTGCTAAGGTCATTTTTATTTCAATACTATCATGGTATTCTTGGATTATGGGAAAGGAAATAATATATCACATCTTTTTATATAATTTTTATTTACTGCTACCTTACTCCTGAAACAATCAAGTTTAGTTTTTATTTATTTGCGTATTTAAAATATGCAGTACTAGAAAATTCTATGGAGATAGAAAGTACAGTAGTATATAAACACTTTTTCACTAGGTAGAGAGAAAACTGAGATTTGGGAGAAATACTGTTTCCAATTCAGAAGTTTCAATTATGTAGTGATAATTTAGCTAAGAAAAATATGTACCAAATTAGAATTTTGTTAAATAAAGAATACTGAAGATACTGAATCCTATTCAGTGTACAGCTCTTGCCTTGAATTCAGGCAAAGGTTGTCTGGCTCTCCACTTCAGAGAAAGGTAATGAATGCATAAGCAAAATGTTGAGAGTCATGAGAACTGTCTTGGGGAAGTTGATCATGTGAGTAAGTTTCGTCAGCAACTACAAAATATTTGTGAGATCTGAAAGTCTCATTTCAAGTTTCATTGCCATCTTGTGAAATAGGTTTGACTAATTTGTTTTTGGATAGAGGACTAAAGGCATTCAGAATACTCATTACTTCCTACCAGTTTGTAAAAATCCAGACTACTGAAGTATTAGCTGTAAGGGACATGCTCTTTAGAACCACAGAATGGTTAAGGTTGGAAGGGAACTTGAGGTTCATCTTGTGCCACCTCCCTGCCATGGGCAGGGACACCTCCCACTCTCACAGGTTGCTCCAAGCCCCACCTAACCTGGCCTTGGACACTTCCAGGAATGGGGCACCCCCAGCCTCTCTGAGCAACCTGTGCCAGTGCTTCATGACCTCACATGGAAGAATTTCTTGATTACACCTAGTCTAATCCAGTCTAATCTACCTTCTTTCTGGTTAAAGCCATTACCCCTTGTCCTCTCAGTACATGCCCTTGTAAAATTGATATGTTCTCTCTTCATAATACAGTTCAGTAGTACTGGAAAGAGTGTTGAATCACCTATAACCATACTTGGCACTGCAGCTACTCCATGGATGTTGATCTCATCCTCAACCTAACAATGAAGCATAAAGAAACCTTTTCAAACACTCTTAATATGTTTGCGCAAGGGAATTTCTAGATAATATTTAATTTATTAGAAGAATATTGGTACATTGAAATGAATTATTTCATGTAGCAGTTTCTTTAGTTTCAGGGTAGTTGCAGAGTACAGCTGATGAGGGGTAACATCAGGAAAATGAGCATGTAATCAGAGAACAGGAAGGTATTTCCTGCTGTCTGTTGAAACAGTGTTTAAAACATCTGTTTCCTGCTGTTTTGTTGGAACCAGTGTGTTTTCAGTACCTGTGTGTTTGGCATAGTTTAACCTAAGTATTAGTATAACAAGTAAGTGCATATTTAGATGACAATTAAAAGCTTTGAAAAGTGAGTTAAACTGAGCATTGTTCAAATAATGTTTTAATTTTTCTTTTTTCTTCCTTCCCTAGGTCTTTTAACATTTGTAAATTGTGCCTATGTTAAGTGGGGCACACGTGTGCAGGATGTATTTACTTACGCTAAAGTCGCTGCTCTTATTGCCATCATCATCGCTGGACTTGTTCAAATCTGCCAGGGTAAGCTTGTAAAATTGTAGCAAAGGTTTGTGCTTATCAATTAAACTGAGTGACTGGTCTAAGGACTGTAAACTACCTCTGTGTGTTTTATGAAGTGCCTCAGTAAAAAAAGTATAATACAGCCACCATGAAAATACCAGTAATACCAATGTTAGGCATTATCATGATACTGCTTCATGAGATATCCATCATATCTCAGTTGACTTTGAACTTGGCAAAAGAAGATAATTGATTGCTCAGCAATGTTGTGTTATTTACAGCCTGCAGTACGGAATTAAAAAGGGAGTGAAAACAGCAATACACAGAGACAGCAAAATACAGTGGGAGTGGTGAAAGTTACAAATTTCTCTAAAGAATGTCTCTACTTTACAGTGAGATCAGTTGAATATTTTTTTTACAAAATGAATCTGCAGCCTGAAAGTGTGCCTGAACTTGAGGCACAAATGTGCTAAGAATATGTAGGTAGATTTGTGAAGCTACAGCTCTGTTTTTGCTCAAAGCCTGAGTTCTGTTAAAGAGAATTAGAAAGTGTATGGGTTGGGCATTGTGCCTTCAAGTTAAGAGAAATTCTGAACTTAGCTTTATTCTTAGCCCTTCCTTTGGGAAGAATTTGTTGGTGTGTTAGCTTAAGAAAATTATCCTGCTTTCAAAGCTGCCATAAAGGGTTGTCTTTCCCTGGCAATCTGACAATTTATGTCCTTTGCTCTAAATGGTTATTGTTGAAAGTTCATAAGCAAGATAATTACTGTGAACCAATGAAGAACATGCATATGTGAGCACCAGGTTTAGTCCTTAGCACATGTGCCCATCCCTTGTTTCACAGATACCAAGCTTGTTCACATCTAATTTCCTTGACACGGTCTCCATTTGCTGTTCCTAACTCAGCAGTTACTCCACCTGTGTTTGTGCCAAGAGAGTAGCAATGTCTGATTGTGATAAAAAGTAGAAAAGAGACATAAGTAAAGATATTTTAGAGGCTTCAAATATTACAGTTTTAATGGAGTCTAAACACTTCAGGATGCATAGTATAGGGCACGTTTTGGAGTTGCACAATAACTTGCCTTTCTGTTTTTGATGGTTTTGTGTGTGTTTATGTATGTATAGAGTCTGAATATTAAACTGTGATTGATGAACTTGACTTGCTTACAGTCAATAGATGGCACAAGTTTTCACAAATACTGGTCCAAAAAACACACATACACTTTTAGCTTGGGAAAATTTTATCTTAACAGGAATACTTTATACTCTGTTAATTTTTCTCAGTTTTCTATTATTAGTAGCAAAACCTTAAACATCTCTTTGGGAATTTGTGTGGGGTTCTCTTGTCATAGTTATCTAAGTCACTTGTAATCTTTCTTTTCTGCATAGGCTAAATGTTTGAAAATTTCAAAAGATATAAAAGAATAGAGTAGGTTATTTTCTAAATATATATGTTATAAACCCCCACACTTAACCTGAATACTGTCATTGCCAATTGTTTATAGCTTAGTCTGAACTTAATGCTTCTGAACTTCTTGTGCTGCTGTGAACAAACCAGGTGTTTAATTGTAGAATAGTATCATACACACAGAATAATTCATAGTAGTTTTAAATGCCATGCTTATTCTCGTGGCTAAAACATGGAGTAGAATTGGAAAGGAGTTCTTAATAAGCAGATTTGAAGCAATTAGGGTTTCTGAGGTGTTTTTGTAATTGTGTGGCACATGGAAAAATACTGCTTACTGTATTTTATTATCCTGTCCTTCATTGCATCTTTTCCACACAGGACACACATGGCACTTTAAGAACTCTTTTGAGGGATCCTCTACTGATATTGGAGAAATCTCCCTTGCATTATATTCTGCCTTGTTTTCTTACTCTGGTTGGGATACACTCAATTATGTAACAGAAGAAATCAAAAACCCAGAAAGGTAAATGATTTGAGCTTTCTAAACGTGGATGGTTCCCAGGTTGCTGGGTTCATGGCTGTTATTCACTAATAAATTCTGACTTTATGCAGAAATGAGTAGAACTGCTCTACTGGTAGGGCTGTGGATGGCCACCAGCAAAGATTTACTAAATTCCATTAAAAGTGAAAAAGAAATTAAAACACAAGAACAATTAAGTGTAGATGGTTGTAGGATGCTGTATTCAGTGCTATATAAGCTTTCAGTTCAAGATGTTGTTACAATTTATTATAATGTGTCATTGTTGCAGTGGTACCTAAATGTTGTCTGTGTTTACCTGTGCAATCATTCTAATTTAATATTTAAGAATATGAATATTTTCCATTAATTTATGCTCTAAAAGTATGACTGGCTAATCTTACCCAGTTGTGAGTTTGTAAGCAGACACTTTTATGTTAGAATAGAATCTCCTTTGATAATTTTTGCATCCTGTTATAAGCAACAGCTCAGATTGCTATAGCTGAATGATTAAGAAGAATGAGATGTTTTTTTAGTTCTCCTGACTGATTTTGACTTTTGCAGTTTATTCCCTTCTATGTTGGATGTTGAGTTTTATGCTGGGCATTTATCTAACCTATCTATCTATTAAAGCTATCTATTAAAATACCGGATAAGTATGACTTTTGCAGTTTATTCCCTTCTATGTTGGATGTTGAGTTTTATGCTGGGAATTTATCTAACCAGGAAAGCTATCTATTAAAATAGTGGATAAGTGCTTTAAAGAAAACCTAGCTATTTTTAGTTAGATTGAATTCCAGATTGACACTTTGTTTCTTTAAATCCTCTTGCAAAGATTTGATACATATATTCAGAAGACACATTGTATTCTCATAAGTCATTTGGTCCTTCAAATAATGTTTTTTTTTCTGCTGAAAAGCTTTTTTTTGAGTATTGTTGCAATTGCCTTTCCTTTTTAAAGTTGGTATTCTTTGATAGCTCTTCTATTAGATGCATTGTTTTGAAAAACAATTTTTCTCACAGGATATTTAGCTGATGCAAATTTCTTCATAATCATTTGCTCTAGATAGGCATCAGTGCCTCATACAAGCTTCATTTTGGTAGAATGGTAGCTGGTAAAGTGAACTTCAAATTTCAGCTTTTTGTATTGACAGTTCTTGGGAATAATTTCCAGACTTCTACAAAATTGCTACAAGAATTACATATTTTTCCTGTTCACTTGATTGGTAGTGCCTTCATGCTTGTCCACCCAAAAGTTGCGATCCACAGTTTACGTTTGACATTGTCCCTTGGCGTTAATCTTGGATGATGCAAAGTCCTTAAAATGCTATTTCAGATTTTTGTTACATTGTGTAATATTTCTGAATTAAATTCACAGTTTTCTGATTATTTTTCTTCTCTGTGCTGGGATTCACGGGTCTCTTACTATGAGTGTCCACCCTGAAAGAAGAGTCAGAACTCCCAGTTACTAATTTACTGATTTATATGGAGGATGTGGGGCATGTTTGTTTTTCTGCTTCCGTGGCAGCAGACAGAAACAGCTGGACTTCTGGGCCTCAGGAAGTTTTTGAGGAAACTTTCAAAGTTTCAGTCAGACTGATAATTTTTATGCTTTGGGCTTTTGTTTTTGGAGGTTTTTTTTCTTGTTGTTATTGAAAACAATGTTCATGGCAAATGCACATCAATGTCACCCTGCTGTGTTTGATTTCAAACTGGGCAAATGTGAGAGTAACACTCTCAATTCTGCTTCCCCTTTTGAAATGTTTGAATATTCCTGTGAGGTTTGAGGGAAGAATGAGACTGAGAAAAGCCAAAGGCTAACATTAAAAATGTTTTTCTGTGGAGCTGCACATTCAGGGCTGTGAGTTAATCTCACAGCTAACTCTTACCTGCTCACATCTAAAGGTTAGCAGATTCCTGTTACTCTTGACTTGTTTTTGTATAGCTTTCTAGACCTGTGCTTGCTAGTAGGATACACCACATGCTGGGGCTCATAGCTGTTCAGCAATTTTAGATTTGCATCTCTGCTGTGCAGCACAGTTAGTTTGTTCTCTGCGGTGATGAGTGCAGATATGAAGAATAGGGGTTTGCTTTAATAAATCTCCCTGCATCAGTTCCAGAAGTAAGTGCTGAAAGGACAGCCCCATTCCCCAGGGAGAAGGAGTGCAGTACCTCAGAGCTCTGCCTCTTTGGGTTCTAAATGTGGTAATTAACATGGACATTAGGAAATCATTTAAAGCATGCAAGTTTGAAGCTTGTTACTACAGATGTGGAAACCTTGAAGTTAGACTGTTTGAAGAGCAGTTGGAGAGAATCCCTTTTTACACATAATTTAGGTTCTAAGTTACTATAAATATCTGGGTTTTTTTCCAGTCTTCTATGTTAGAATTTCTAGTTATAAAAGAAAGCAAACTCTGATTCCAGAGATACCTTTTTTGAAATCTTTATGCGGGCTTCATTACTTTTCTCTGTATTGTAAATGATACAAATAAGTCACTTTAATCTGTTACTAATGTAATTTTTCTTTCTCTGCAGTTGTGGGTTTTGGAGTTTTGGTATTTTTTTTGTCTTCCAGGAATTTGCCTCTGGCTATTGCAGTGTCTATGCCAATTGTGACTATTATCTATATTATGACCAATATAGCTTACTATACCGTGCTGGATGCTCACTCTGTCCTCTCTAGTGATGCTGTGGCAGTGGTAAGTTGACCAAGTGTTACAAGTGAGTGTTTGACCTGCTTAAAAAAATCATTGTAAGGGTATGAGTAAAAACCAGATTCTCTGGGTGGTGGAAGAGAGTTTTATCCTCAGTGGAATCTTTAAGAAGACTTAGAGCATTGTATTCGGTGGATGAATGAAGAAAGGAGGTGAGAATTAAGGTATTCAAAAAAATCTGATGAAAATGAGGCACTTTCATCTGCTTGGATATCCTACATGTGATACAAGATACAGATTGCTTATTGCCCTTTATGTAGTTGGTGGAAGTTGGTATAGGTTGAAAATTACATCGATGAATTTTTAAAGAAACGTGGTAGTAATATTGCTTCATTTTAGAGTCTCTGGTGTAATCAAGCAGCAGTTACATTTCAGCCTCCTTGTTGCTATTTTGGGAATAAGTGAAGTGGCTTTCTCCTTTTCAGTGAAGAGGCTTTGAGCTGGAAAGGGATGGAGTGAAGCTATCTCCGGTTTCTGAATGGACTGAAAGTTCTGAGTAAAAGAAGTATGAATGGGTCTTTCCAGAACACATTGTGTGCTGTTTTTCTTGGTGGCTGTGAGGCAAAAGAAATCACACCAAGGGATTATATGGGAAAAGAAATGATAAAATGTCCTCCTTTTACAACACTATTGGCTTCATGTGGTATAGTCCCAGTGTTGGGGCTAAGAAACTGATTTTTAAAGCTTTTTTGTTGAAGAAATTTAAGTGATACAGCAACAGCCAGCTTAAAAGTTCTGCAAATGCTCTTCAGATGGTTGCTGATCGTGTCAAATCACTCACTTTTTCAATGATTCCTGTCGGAGTTTACAGTTGATTTCTGTTTTACCTCCTTATGGAAACCATCACAACCTTTGCTATTAAGTTTTATGCAGATGAAAAATACTCTGTTGCACAAACACAAATAAAGAAGAGCTGACATTTTACCTCATCTTTTACTGTTACTGAACAACCTTTTTTATGTTGTTTGAGACTACTGTTGTGGTTTTTTGTCTGAAAGTGGCAGCTGGCTCCACAAGCACTTTCTGGGCTGTTTTGTCTCCTGACAGGAAGCATGCTGGCTGCCAGTGCACAGCTTGGTACCTGCTTCCTGTGTTTGGTCACGTCTGTGGGTCTTGATTGAGCTCCTACAATAGGTGGTATTTGGCAGCTTACTTCTTTTACTTGGAAGAGCTAAAACTGGTTGAAGCAAACAATTGGTTGTCCTGCATAGCCAGCTGTCATCTTTCTTGGAGCTGTACAGCTTTGTCAGCAAACTGGGGATAAAGAGGATGACTTCAGTTGCATCTTTGAGTATCATCCTGTGAGACCAGTGCAGGTGCATGGGTTCACCCTGGTGCTCTCATATTCTAGAGCAGGCTTGCTTTGCTTTGCCATGCTCCCTCAATGAACTGGAATGTGGGAGGCTGTGTGTTTTAGCTGTTTTATTATTCTTTGGAGTAGTTTAATAAATGTTGGGTATCTTTTTTCTAACTGATTTCAGACAGAAATTTTAAAGTTCTTCTTAGACCTTATGGGTATTACTTCTCTTCCTTCATTGGCTTCACTGTCTTCTTTTCTGAAAAGAAAAATCTGCTTGTCCTTAGCCATCAGTGTCATGTTCCTCTTCTTTGCTTGAACGGGCACTTCCCAGTATGGTTTCCTTGGATGAAGAGCACATTCCATACCTTAAAACTGAAGAACTCTTCATTAGGGGCAGGCAGTTGCTTTTTGAGGGAGAGTTGTTCAGTAAATTATTTGCCTTCTTTCTTGGAGCTAGCTGTAATTCACTGCCAATGCAACACTCCTGATGGCAGCTACATGGAAGTTCTCTGGCTTTGGAGCCCAAGCTGAAAAGCTGAGCTGAACTGGAGAATGCTATCTTATATTTTCAGTATGAGATAAGTAAGAGACTTTGGAAACACTGAACCCTTGTTCTACAGCTAGCTATGAGAGATGCTAAGAAGAGGATAAACACCTGAGAAGGTTTAGATCAAATATCTTCAGCACCTCCATGAAAATGTAAATGAAGCTATTTTACTGTTGGAGCTGACATTGGAAATTTTAATGTGGACTGTACAGAAGAGACATCTTACATGCAAGTAGGAATGCAGTGTATTAATGCAGCAGAGTAGTGCTGGTTCTCTTGCCATAAGATTGTATTCAGTGACCTAAAAATGAAGTGGGAATTTTATGCTGGACTTCTTACTGCACTCTGCTACCTTTTTCTCCCAGTAAAAGTGTTGCCAATAATGCAACAAGAGAATTATGTCTGAGTAGAGTTGATCAACAGCATGGTAATTGAAACAAGAATTACAAGAGACACATTTAATTTGTTTTCTTTTGCACCTTTACAATTTTCTGGGTTTGGTCAATGGGCACTCATTCATTTCTTTTAATATATGTGATATTAAATCTAATTTGGGGAGAGATGGGGAGTGGAGAGAGATGTCATACAGTATCTTGACAATGTAATCTATGGCAGTGGCAGAACACTTCTTCTGCTTGGGTGCTTTTTTTTGCATGTGCAGCTTCCAGATTGCCATAAATCAAGAGTTTGTTTCTGGTAGGCAGTAGCATCTTAGTGTCCTCAAAAGATCAAAATTAAGAAAACATACTGTAGTTCTGACTGCTAGATTTTCCTGTAATGTGTGAATGTATTTATACTTCACCTCAAGAGAAACGTCAAAGCAGAATTAATTGTGTTTCCAAAATACCAGTCAGATGGATGTCAGATATATATATATATATATATATATACATATGTGTGTATTCATATATGTTCCCTTACTTCTCTGTATGATTTTCATGTAAGAATGTTAATAGAACTTGGTCTGGAAAAGCTCCTGGGCAATAGGATCTTGTAATGAGTTACATGAAGAGGCTCTGTAGATGCCTTTTAAACTTTCCTAATAGAAACACCTCATAATCCTTGGATATTTTTTTGTATAAGTTTCTTATTCATGTTAGGCTACACTCTCTTTGCATTCCTCCATTTGTCCCTCCAATCAATACTGTGTGGTGCTTTGCCAGCCTCACATGTGCTTGTGGCTCCATATGCTCTCAGTGTAGTCTGACATTTCTTGTGTGCCTCTAAGTACACTTCTAATGTGCAGCTAAGTGTGATGAAACAGTTCTCATCTTGTGATTTGTAATATGAATGTGGGTCTGCTACTCATCTGTGTGCCTGAATTACTGAGTGTGAGGCAGTATCCTGTGTATTTTGCTGTGGCAAATCTTGATGCTGGAATTTCTGCTGCTTTTAGTTCAACCTGTTTGTACAGAACTGTTGTTTGGACCTTTAAAAGGACAAAAAAATGTTCTTGCAAACCATTCACAACTTACCAGCTGATGATCATGAGATCAAACTAACTCAAGACAAAAGTAAGATGTAGTTTATTCAGTCATTCATGCCTTGAAACAAAGCTGTAATTCAGTTTTTGACCATTCTTCTGGGAGTAATGTAACATTTTAGTCATTATTAAATAAGGGCAGTTCAGCTGAGAAGTGCATGGCTGGAAAGCCTTTTCCTTCATTAATACCTGATGTTGGTTTGAAAAAAAAAAAATCAAAACTAAAGGGAACAATTCTTAGTGCATGTCCTACAGTGTGTGTGTATCTATGTATACCTTACATATTCAATGGATGGGAGGGCATAAAAGAACTGTATCTGTAATTGCAAGTGTTACACCAGCACTTCTCTGAATTCTCTGTTTCCAAGCTGTTAGAAGCAGTTATAATTCAAGTCTGGACTACAAGATTTGTCAGACTGTAGCAGAGATGACAATTTAATCTCTTAATCCTTCTTGCTCTTTAGACTTTCTCAGAAGAATCCTGAGATGATATCCATCCCCATAGTGGTGGCTTTCTCCTGTTATGGTGGACTAAATGTTTCTGCTTATAGCTGCCTCCAGGTAGGCTCCTCTGTCATCCTCCACATACCTTTGTCAATGCTCTATTCTTTCCTCCATTGCCAGCTCGTTTGTTTTTATAAATGCACTTCACATCTCCCAGAAGTAGTGGCAGTTAAAGCAGAATTGGCGAGGAGCTCAGCTCAGAGCCCAGGTCTGGCTCATTTGTGGAGGATCCATGATTGTACAGTTGTGGTTCTAGCAGAAAGCAACCACTAACTCTTCTACTTTTCCCCTTCCCTTCTTGGTGCAGTGCACTCAGTTTGTGTACTTGATAACTTGATTTCCTGTTGTACTTTTCTCTACCCTGCCTTCTTATGCAAAGTAATCCTCTGATATGCATGCAGTGAATGTTTCTTGTGGCTGCATTTACTTAGACTTCAGTAAATCTTTTAGCAAGAAACGCTGTGGAGATCTTTGGGTTTACCTTTGTTCACAAGAGACTATAGCTGAGCTTTAAAGAAGACACTTCTTGGCATCCGTTGAAAGGAGGGTATTGAAGGATTTATAAATTTGTACTCAAGTGTCTGAGTAGTAGTAATGAACTTGGCTGATTTTTGTTATAAATGAAGGTGAAACTGTCACAAAATGCCTGCCTAAAAGCAGGTGGGTCTTTATGTTCATGTTAAGTTGGTTAATATCAATAGACAGATTAGGCAAACTTCAGGTACCTTCAACTTTGTTTTGCTGAAAGATCATTTTGCAGGCAGATCTACTTGGCAAACCAAGCTGAACTTTTTTAGATGATTCTCAATTAAAACAGTCATTTGTATTGCCTCACCTCAAGTTTAGCTCTTGAAGTTTCTCCACCCTTTGCTCTGTCAGGAATCCCAACTACAGCGTTAGAAAGTACATTGGAAATGACAGTGTTTGGTAGAGGTTGTCACTACATTACTCTCTTTTTTGAACAGTCTGACTTGTACAGCTCTAGGGAAATCACTTATTTAGGCTTTGAGCTGGATCAACAGTTGGTGTAGAACACAGCCTGCATCCAGAATACATTGAATCTGTAGCATTTTGGTCTGTATATATCTTGTGGGTCTTACTGTTCATATGAATGGTTGTTGTTTTCCAATACGTGTGGAACAGTATTAGCATCTCCTAGAACAATTGGATGCACATTACAGGATGGAAATAGCCTTTGAGTTAGTCCTGCACCTGTCATTCACACTGGCCCATTACCAGATGTTTCAAAAGGAAATAGGAAATGTTTGCAAAGAACATCTTTGGGGGGAAAATATTTCTCCAAATGGTATATTAGCTAATTTGCATCCTTCAGCATAAGACTACATTAATAGGTTTTTTCTTTCTTCTTTAGCTTCAGCAGTTAATATTACTTATCTAAATGCTTATCCTTTAGGCAATTTTACTAAACATCTTAATTCTCTAACATCTTGTTCTGTATCTTAACTTCATGTATTAAAACAAAATATCCTCCAGGAGGTTTGTGTCAGGTAATTTCACTTATTGTTTGGCTTCAGAAATCAGAAGTTCAGGTTTAAATATTCCTTTAAAATATTACAACAGTTGCTTATTAGAATTTTCATCTTGTCATCATTCTTGTTCTGGAGGAGTTGTCTTAATTCATTGACTGGATCATAATAAATTACATTCTGCTTCAGGGAACTGTGTTTCTCTGAGCTGCATTTAGATGCAGTAAGGATCTGGGAGAAGCACTTCAGGTTTTAGGAATTATTTAGTCTTAAGCAGCAGAAATCTTTTATATACAATAATGTAAGTTATTAGTTGCAGTTTCAGTTGGCTGGAAATGTAATCCATGGTATACAGAACACATTTCTAATGGCATGGCCTTTTGCTAAATTGATGTTCTGATTTCAGCATGAAGTGGGTATGTACACGGACTAGTTCTTTTATATTTTTCTCCTATTATTTTTTATAATATCTCTAGGAATCTGTATGCATTTTTCCATCCGTGTTGAAGCTCCATTTTGAGCGAAGCTGTGCTAAGATGGATAAACTAAAATAGCTCAGGAAGAGAGGTGCCTTTCTGAGAATGAGGGTGACACAGCTGATGCATTGACTCTGAGCCTTTAGGCAAAGTTCCCTTGTGATTATGTGGCTTTGCATTGTCCTTTAGGAGCAGGAAATCCTGTCTGCTTTTAAGGCTCAACTAAATGACACAAAAGGATGGAATATATTCTGCTTTTTAGTGTTAATGAGGGAACACAGCAGAGTTGGATTCTGACCCATAATCTGGATAATGTGCTGGACAAAGCATTTTTTCAATGCTGACAAAGAACAGGAAATTATAGCTGGCCAAGCCTTGGTTTATGGCAGTGAATTTCTCAGCTTCTTGTGGCCTAAACATTGACATTATTTATAGGGTTTTGTCTCATGAAAATGAAGTACTGATGTAACAAAAAAAAAAAAACAAACAAACCCAAACCAACTATATTAAGTCTTTTAGGCTTTTTTTGACCTACAAAAACATTAAGAAAACAGATTGTAGTAGACTGCTATTGATGATCTGGTTCCTGGAGTAACTACATCAAAATTTGACCACTGTTAAATAGAGATTACTTCATATGGTACAGATAAAGGCCAGTTCTGAGTGTTTATCACCTTTGATTGAGCTCCTTAGCTCATAAATGTTATGATGAAGACCAGTGCATTGAGGGGGAGGTCAAGGGCAAGGTGTTTAAAAATATTAAAATATTAAAAACTGAAGAAAATTTTTATAATAGATGGACCTGCAGAAAGCTGAATTACTATCTATGCTTTTTATGTCTGAAGATCTTGAAATTTATAAAGCCAGAGAGATAAGAAGGTGATTTAGAGAAAGGTTCATAAAAGATTTAGATTACTGCTGCTTGCTAAGATGTGAAATGTTCAAATCTTTGTTTGAACAAATACTCCTTATACATGGGTATGTACCTTTCTGTTTTCTTAAATAGTGACTTCATGCTGTCCAATGTGGACATGATTCTTTTGCTATATGACTGTTAGTTTGCTTCTGTAAAAGAAATGATGGAAGTGATTTAGTTATGTGTAGGTAGACGTGGGATGGGTAGGAATAGGAAGGCTTCCACCCTCATCCTCTGAACACAGCATGAGGGCATTTCTGCCTAACTTCATGCTGGTGTCCAGATATGTACAATGCTCAGACCAAGACAGGAGGTGGAATACCTGTCAGTCTGCATGAATTGTATTTCTTCATGTTTCAGATGTGTTATCTGATACTTTAAGTCTCTCTGCCTTTTTTCTCCATCCAGGAGGTTGAGCAGAATAGACCAGGACAGTATATTGCAAATTATTACCCATTTTTGTTTTAGATCCAGGATTGCTGGCAATCAGTGGCACTTACCACTTGCTATGAAACTTTGATTCTCCTGACTTCTTGGTTTCAGAGCTCTACCATGGACAGCACAGTTTCTTGCAGTATTGTCTAGCAACATCAAGGATGGAGCAAGTGATAAGATCACTTGCTCTGTTATTTGCCAAGTTGTGAGAGTAGAGTCCAGAGGCCCTGCCAGTGGAGCTAAAGGAAAAGATGTTGCTTAGGAAACTGCAAAAAAAGGAAATTAAAGTAGATTCCTAGAATAGAATCTATGAACAGTAGCTGTGATGTTGGCAGTGGTTATTCCCTGCAATATGGCACTTGCCTGTTTGGCTAGGTAATATTTTTAGTAATCCAGAGAATGTTCACTTGTGTTCTGTAGGTCAGTTAGATAATAAAATATATTAGGATTGGGAAGAAAATTCTCAAAAGATTTTCTTTTCCTTAATGAGCAGAAAATATGAACTTCAGATGCTTGGCTAAAAAGTTTGTGCTTATTTAGAATCCATAAATAAATAAGACAGCTGTGTGATTCTTTGTGCTGCATTATGTACTGTCCTTACTATGTTACTATTTTTGCATACAAGTGTATTAGAAAAGCTCTGATGTCACTGTTTTACATATTCTTTTTTGCAGATATTTTCATGTTTCCTTTTCTTTTCCCTTTCATCAGACATTTGCTGACAAGATATTTGGCATGTTCAGCTGGACAATTCCCATTGCTGTAGCCTTTTCTTGCTTTGGTGGACTTAATGCTTCAATTCTAGCATCATCAAGGTAGTGCTTACCTCTTTCAGTTTGACAAATGTTCATAAGTCTTTTTACGTGTTACTGTTATGCTGAACTGTTGTGAGAGAGGCAAAAATAATTTTTTAACTGAACCTATCATGAATAGCCACAATAAAAACACAGATCTAAATAAACCTCTGTGTGTGTCTGTACATACACCCTCAACACTGCCTTGTTTCCCCAAAGCATTCCTGAGTGTATGCAGAGCATAATTATAAGATCAAATTAATTTTGTCTGTGTGGTGAGTCCTCAGGTCTTCTGATCATTTGCATTACCTTCCATTTTACTTGATAGAATAATTCTAGCAAGTTTTTGGTTTCAAATGTATTTATCTAAAACTTACTGACCTTTTAAAATCAGTATTTTAAAACTTTGTACTTGGAAAAACTCTAACAAACTTGCTACTGCTATGAAACTGCAATCAAAAAGCTTAGGATACTGTGTAGAACCTTTTCTTTGAGCACTGATTGTGGATGTAACTAGCAAAAGTTTTAAATAGATTTATCCAGGCATTTTAATATTCTTCCTATGCATTGAATGAATTTGCAATGCCTCTGTTGACAAGAAATATGATCATTTGGTGAAGCAATCAATATAGAACAGCTGGTAATAAAATTGTGTTTGTTTGTTTTTTGAGCATGTGATTGAGTGACATAATTTTAGGGACCTGGCAAACTCTTCTGGTTGGCATTGAAAACTATTCTTCCCTAAGCTGGAATGTTTTCAGTGCTAGCTTTTAGAATTTTGTGAAACAATAGAAATTTGTTTCAGTTACTGTAGATATTGTCTATTTTACCTGTAGGATGATTTTTTTAAAAAATGGTTCTTACCAGCTTGTTTCTAAAAGCTTACCTACCTTTCAATGGTTGTTGTACAGTACATCTTTATAAGAAGGTTCCAGTTTAAAGGACAGAAATTCAGTGTTGTAAATATTTATTTTGACTGGTGTTATTCTTTGATTTTCTGTAATATATTCTCTCTTGCCTATGGTCTCAACATGTGTTTTACTGCTTTTTTTCAGGCTATTTTTTGTAGGATCTCGGGAAGGTCACCTTCCTGATCTGTTGTCTATGATCCACATAAAGAGGTTCACACCCGTGCCAGCTCTGCTCTTCAATGCAAGTTATTGCTTTTCTTTTCAACTAATTAGATGGGACACACAGCACAGCTTCCCTCAAAATGGAGCTTCAACACAGGGCTAGAAAAATGTACACAAATATACATGTATAAAAAATAACACGAGAAAAGTATAAAAGAACTAGTCCATGTACGTATTCTATTTCGTGCTGAAATCAGAACATCAGTTTAGCTGGCCATGCCATTAGAAATGTGTTCTGTATGCCATGGATTACAATGCATTGCATTTTCACCCAGTTGAAACTGCAACTAATTATTGACATATTGTATATAAAAGATTTCTGCTGCTCAAGACTAAATAATTCCTAGAGCCCAGAGTGCTTCTCACAGATCCTTATTGCATCTAAATGCAGCTGAGAAACCCAGTCTCCTGAAGCAGAATGTACTTTATTGTGATCCAGTCAATGAATTAGGCCAACTTTTTCAGAACAAGAATATGAATTATTGAAAGGAAAACTTTAAAAAAACCACAAGAGATAAAATATACTATCATCAAACTGCTCGCTGAGAGAGTAATTTTTTGAGGCATAAAATTATGCCAGACACCAAGGAGTATAAGATGTTACTTAAAGGCAAAAACCAGGATAAACAGTAAGTTCCAAATCTTTGGGTTTAAATTCTTACTCTTGTTCTTTTCTGACAGTGTTTTATGACCCTTATTTACCTGGCTGTGGAAGATGTCTTCAAGCTGATTAATTACTTCAGCTTCAGTTACTGGTTTTTTGTTGGTCTGTCTATTGCTGGGCAGTTATATCTACGCTGGAAAGAACCAGATCGGCCAAGACCTCTTAAGGTAATACTTATTACACAATTGTTTAAATTCCATATAATATAAAAGTACTGTCTAAAATCTGGACCATACATGTTAAGTGTAAAAGTTACAGATTGATCAGGATATAAAGTGTGATTTCCCTTTATGTTCTTCCATGAAAGTTAGCTTGTCTGCTAGGTAAGAACAAGAGACTGTGGTGTCAGTATGCTCTATTATTATATGCTAGTTCAATAAGTACCCCTTCTGTCTGCCCAGTGGAGAATGTCTCAATGCCCAACATTTCTGCTTTTATCTAGCAGCAGAAATCTCTGATTGGAAATGCTCAAGTTAAGTAACTCTGTGGATCACCTTTAGCTCCAATGGTATCTGATCCTCTAACCTCATACTTTGATACTCTACTCAAAAAAGTCAGTAATTCTTGTTTCCCAAGTTTTACTGGTTTTGTCTAAAAACACTTCATACCACTATGCACTTTCTTTCAGCACAGCAGTTACCATAGTTGATTTCTTTTGCAGTATTTAGCAACAATTCCATTAAGAATAATTCTGCAATTTGCTTATGGTCCTAAATAGCTAGATATATGAGAGGAAGCACAAATTCCACAAAGAGGGTTTCAGAGAGAAAAGTCTGTATCATAATGTTTGTAACTATAGACAGTGACTATTTCATTAACATTGTGTTCTCTTTTTTCTGTCTGCAGCTGAGTCTGGCTTTCCCAATAATATTCTGTATATGCACAATATTTCTGGTGGTAGTGCCACTCTATAGTGACTTTATAAATTCAGTGATTGGAATTGCTATTGCTTTATCTGGAATTCCATTCTTTTTCTTGGGAGTCTATTTACCTGCATCAAGGAGACCTCAATTTATTAATAAGATTATGGGTAAGTTTCTTTGTTAGGAAATGGAAATGTTGTTAGGAAAGAGGAAAAGTAAGTGGGTGACTCTTATTCTGTTGATGGAAAGGGCTGTGGTGGGCTGACCCAGCTGAGTACCCAGGGCTGGCTCATCAGCACCCCCAGCAGCACGAGGGACAGAACAGGAAGAACAAAGGTGGGAATACCTGCTGGTCAAGTCAAATAGTTTAGTAAGTGAAGAGGGGAAAAAGCCCTGCTGCTGCAATTTCACAGGCAGCCCAGTGTGCAGCCAGTCTCCAAGCAACAGCTGTATGGGAAAACACTCCCACAGGCAAACACTTCTTGCTCAATCCGTTTCTATTGCTGAGCATGACACCAGATAGCACAAAATAGCCTTTGCATAGTTTGGGTGAGCTGCTGTAGCCAGACTTCCTGCCCTCTCCCATCCTGCCAGCTGCAGGAAGAGAGGAGTAAGAGGAAAGAAAAGAAGCCTTGATACTGTGCAAACACTGTTCAGCAATAGCCAAAACATCAAGAAAAAGTCTTTATTTGAACCAAGATTGATGACTGTAAGAAGTGTGAACATTCTTGGTAGCACAAACTGTCCAGCTTTAGTGAATCAGGTATTTAAAAATATAAAGATTTTATGTTACTAAAGAATGGAATTTTGCCTTCTGTTGTATTACAGCAGTTGAATTACACAAAACTTTTCTCCATTGGTGCTCTTTTGTTATTGCTACTATGTGAGACAGCCTTGATGTGGGATGTGGTGAGGAAGGTTTATAGCATAACCTTACCCTGAAAGCAGGATGTGGTGCTGCAGTAGTAGAATGTATGGAAATACTCAGTAATCTTGTAGCTTTCCCTGTATGCTATTAGTTTTACTTTCTTTATTCCACCAATTTTACGCTCTTAATTACAGAGAAAAAACATTTTACTTTAGTTACTTGGCAGGATTCTGCCTAAGAAGCAGAACACCCTAGGATATCAACAGGAACAATTTAAGATTCTGTTAAAAATGAGTGGGACACAGTTATTGTACTAGCTTTTATTCTTTGTTTCCTAAAGAGAAGTGGACAGCATTCCTGTCAGCTTTCATTAGTCAGATGTGTTTTGTAATTAGAGTTGAGATAGGTGGCTGTTGTTCTAATTTGTCTCCAATTTCTCTGCAGGTGCTGTCACACGAAACATTCAGCTGCTCTGTTACTGTGTTTTAACAGAGATGGACCCAAATGAAGAAAAGAAACCAGAAATCAAATCCAAGTAAAGTTTAAAGCCTTTACAGGAAGCAGGAGGGAGGATAAAGTAATTACACAAATCAAAGGGAAGAGCTGGAACTGGAAGACACAGAAAAACTGTTTTCAGTGGTCTTTCAGAAATGCTGAAAATCTTACTCGTTGCAGATGGATTCCAACGTGGATCATGCCCTTGTGTCATCCTCCTAAACTGTGGCATGTTTTCAGGGCAGGTTTTCATTGGATAATGATTACCTACTCATTACCTACTCACACAAGCTGTGTGTCAATACTGTTTCTTCTTCAGAATTGGTATGAAAATGGTAAGAGCTAATGGATCAAATTAGATTTCTACAGAACCAGGTGGTGAAGTAATGCATTATTGCGTCAGACTGAAACCCACTTTGACTCCAAAGACGAAGTCATTTCCAGCTTAATTCTGACGGACGCTTGCATGAAATGATTTGCTATACTATGTCAGTTCTTTTCCCAGAAGAAAACTGGTCACAACAAACTACTTCATTTGTTTTTCTGCCCCTAATGATAAATTAAGTTCTACTCCATTATTTATAGACTGAACCAACCTTTCTCCCTTAAAGATTTTATTCTCTATGCTACATGGAAATGTATGTGACTGTGGGAAGGATTTAATCAGCTAAGCACCTTGCCACTGAAGATTTGATTAATGGTTGATTTTTTTCTTGTTTACTTGTTAGTACTTTGTAAATTACTGCTAGGTTTTATGAAACTTCCAAAATTAAAACATTCAGTTTGAAGCCTGTAAACATTTGTTTGTGAACTGTTTCAGTGAAGACAGTAGCTGAGTTACCTCAGCAGTCAGAAAATTCCCGTTATAAATTTCAGTGCTGTTCACTAGGAAGTGACCATCTAAAACCTCCCAGAAAGAGCTTTTTTTTTTCCTTCTATTGCAGAATTTCTGTGGCAGATACTAGATCTTGACAGCTAAGTAGCACGGAGAAAAACTAGAAATAAAAACAAAAGTAAAAGGTGCTACTGTAGCATATACATGCTGATTCATAGTCTGTGGAATTCCAAAGCTGTAAGCCTTAAATCAGGAGAGTTTTGATACTGAATTTTGGTGCAGAAAAAGGCAACAAGAAGCTTGTTTGTCTGGCAAAGTGAGATGTACTTCAAAAACATACCTGAGATTTTTACCTTCTGTCTATCTCAGTTGACCTGAGTTTGGCCAGATGTATGGTTTTGTGCATTTAAGTTGAATTAAATCTTGTAATTACAAGACTATGGTGAAGCAATACATACTTCAAAGGGTGCACCACAGTTGCATCAGTGACCTGAATAATAGTGAGGATACTGGAATTTTTGCACTGCCATGTTAACCTTTCTCTGAAGCAAACAAAAATACCTTGCTTCCACTCCTTTGTTATTACCAGTCAAGACTGACTGGCCTAAGTACTGCTGCAGCCTCCAGTTCATGAATGACACTGACCAGCTAAGAGCTAATCCTATCAGCTGTTTTTTACAGACTCAAGTAGGAGAGTGCTGAAATACTTCATGTGTCCAAACAAGTACAATGGAATTGTTTTAAAGATGTACAAATGCAAATTAAAATGGTGACCTGGGTTCAGCTGTACCAACTTCTGTGATCTTTCAATGAGTGAAGAAAACTTGGTCAAAAAAAAATTTATTTACAAATTAAATGCACATTGTTCTACTCCAGCAGTAAAACTACTGGGGAGAGTAATGGACAGGTCAAGGCATTTCATATGCTCAAACACTTGTGAAGAAAGTCACTTGACATTTAGGAACAAATGAAGTAGAAAGCAGTAGGATAGGGTGCCTTCCAGGACTCCCATTTGCCATCAGGGCAGACACATGGGTCTTCTTGTGAAACCTGATGTATTAGACATGACCAGAAGGGCTGCTGCCAACAGTACCTCCATATCTGTACATTTCCTACAGGTACAAACTCTTGGGCATGCAGCTTTGGGAAAACAAAAATAAATAAAAGGTCCCTTCAAAACCTCAACACATGCAATGGGTGGAAAAGTCTATTTTAAAGCATAGAGCATCTTATGGTTGGAAAAACATTTTTGTTGTCAAGTGGCCATAGTCACACCCATCTGTTTAATATCCACCAGCTGAAGCTGACTGCTCAGACAGTACATTCTCCTACAGCAGCAAATGTTCACCTGTATGCATTTCATCTCCAACACCAGGCTGTTAGTCAGAACCCAAATCTTCAATCTCATCGTATCCAAATTCCTGCAAAACCTCCTGTCGATATTTGTCCCATGTTCTTCTCCTGTAACATTGGTCCTCATCACTGAAGCTCTCTTCAGAGTCTGCAATGAAAGCATCAACGCTTCTGGATTACCCCTTATTTTTACTTAAAACATTAAGTGAATCAGACTAGTTCAAGCTTCTTGAGAAACTAACAAAGTCTGAACAACTTCTGTATGAGCTGAGGCTTGAATTGTGCTTGAAGTACTCTGGGCTGGGGACTTCAGAAGGCAGAGACAGTGTTTCACAAGCATGTGGACCCAAGTCATGGATTCCTTCTCTAAGCAAGCAAACCTTTGCAATTCCAGTAGCCTCAATTTGACTTCTCAATTTTGTCTTTTCACAAACACTAATTTCTCTTCTAGTTCCAAGAAAGATAATCCTCCTCTACGCACATTTCACTATTGTAAGAGCAGAATGCTACCCCAGCAGTTCTCAGTTAAGTTGCTTTTTTAGGGATAGCATGTATAAAAGAGGAGATGTATACATGCACAGCAGGAAAGCAAACAGCATTTATGACAGGTGTACCTTTTTCTCCATCTTCTTCAGGTAAGAATTCATCTTCTTCAGGATAATCATTACGCCAGTTATTTTCATCATTTTCATCATCTTCATCTTCATACACTTCCTCTGGACCAGGATCATCATTTACCTGCACATCAACACAAAACATAATGCTGAGTGTCTGTTTATAATGAATGTTAAGTGAGTTTTCATCCACCTGTGCAATGCTGTACAGTTCAGAAAAAGCCAGGAAATACTTACTGGTGGCAGGCAGAAGGAATTCTGCAGTGACACAGGGCACACTGCAGAAGAATTTGAGTTGTCACTGTATTCACCATAGCACTTCAAATCTGCTTTAGGTGAACAACCAGTGAAGTCATACATGTGTGTTCCACTCCAGCACTTCAATGTTAATGTCTAGCTTAATCCTGCTCACTCCAGCAGTAATTGTAATAGATCAAGGAAGAGAGAAAGTAATTTCAGGCTCCCAATATACAAGTCTGTTGATCACCGAAACAATACAACACAAGACTAAACCTTATATTAAACTTCCTAACTCCACAGTCACTGAAGAACAATTTATTATGAAAAAATATCTCCTATGAAGACTAAAGTCAAGTCCTCCAATACTGTAAAAGTTGTGTGTCCCCCCCTTCTTTTTATTCAGTCTTATTTACAATGACATTTTAATGGCTGCCTCCTAATCGCAAGCAAGACATAAATTACTCTAGTTTTGTGTGCCAAAATTTAACTGGCAGTTTGTAACCAGACAGATTCTTCTCATTTGTCATATGATGTCCCAGGATCAACAGTAACCTGCAGGAGCATGGGACTGGCAGTTACAAAAGGCCTAACACAGAAGTCACTGAGCTTACATGTAGTGTCTGTCTTAAAGGACTTTTCTTGGCATGACAGCTTTTAAGAGCAGGACTTTAAACACAGTTTGTGATTTTTCTAGTTGAGAAAGATAATTTTTTCCACAGCCTTACCCATTCATATTCTTCTCTATAGGGCTGTACAGAAAGGATATTTTCAATCCAATCAGGGGCTGATGTTTCCTTATAGTAGATGTCATAAACATACTCCTCTTCTCTGTGACCATGCTCTTTTTTACCATCCTCAGAAACATTTAAACGTTCACGGATCATCTCTACTGCATTGCAAAGAATTGCATCCGGATCAGCCTTCTGCTGAGAAAAAATAAGAAAATTAGTATTTCCACTAAAGTCATGCAAAGTCTTATTTACAACCAATAGTTTTCAGATGAAAAGAGAATCTCTATATCAGACCAGGGCAAAGAAAAAATAGGGCGGTACAAGCCCTTCCTTAAGCAGCAGCTCCGCACACTGTCTGTTTCAACATTAGTGCACTTAGGATCCTCATGAAACATTCCAACTTGCAATCTAGTTAAAGCTCCTATTAAATAGTGTAATATTGACATGGCAGGCAAACTCCCACAGCAGCCTGCCCACACGTACCACTCAACAGCCATACCAAAGTACTTCAAGCACACCAAGTTCATAGCTGACCTGTGGGTTTGCAGCGGTTACACTGGAATCTCCCACCGTCTCCTCTTCTTGTACAATATCAAACAGCTGGAATTTCCCACAGCAGTCTGAACTCTTATCCACAGCACCACTCTCTTCTGGTGAAGCATCCTGCAGTGCTTCAGACTCAGACCTGTCCCCGTGGGGCGCAGCCTGGCCATGGGTGGCAGGGGCAGCTGTGTGGGTGCAGTCGGGCCGGTGGCTGGAAATCACCCGGTACCGGTTCTCCTTCCTTCTCGCCTGCTTGGTACAACGGAGCTCCTGAAGGATTCGCTGGCTGCTTCCCGAAGAGGGGCGCAGGCTTTGAGCTGCCTTGTCCCGCGTGATGGCATCTTTAACATACTTCTGAACTGGTTCGTTCTGGGAGAAAAGAACAAAAAGGAGGAGGAACATAACGATAACATCAACATAGCAATTCGTACTCCTTCTTAGAAGGGATGAAGAACCGCAGTACCAATAATCCTCACAACATTCAAGTAACTTCTGCTATTACTTTAAGCAACATAACAATCATAATAATCTCTTATTATGAGGGGAGAAAAGCACAAGATATAGAACAGAAGTCCTAAGACTGTTTCAATTTGATTTTTAAACAACTTCGTGGTACAGAATAGCTCTCCAAACAAAACCACATGCCTTTGGAAGACTGCAACGGACCTAAAGCTGGATGGCAGTTGTTATCCTTGTAGGGCTGAACTTCAGCATCTCACACAGCAGAAATTCAAGCTTCACTTATTGACTGTTCTGTAGTTTCCAAGCGAGGAAGTGTCTCTTAAGTGTAGAAAAGCGAGTGCTGGCCACAGCTTGTCACGGGGGTCACTGCGTGCTGTGGGCCGTGGCTCTGCTCCGGCCCTGCCCGCGGCCGTCACAGGGCGGGAGGAGCCGCCGTGCCCTCGGTTACCGGCACTGCCCGGCGCTGCCCGCGGCCGGGCTATTCTCCAGACCACCGCACCCACAGGGGAGCCCTGAAAGACCGCGAAGAGCAGCCAGACAGAGCCGCTGCTTTCCAAACCCCTCCAGAAGCACCGGCTCGCTCCGCCCGGCCCGGCCCAGTACCTTGGAGGACACGGTCGCCACCAGCTTGAAGAGGTTGGTCTCCACGGGCTCGGCGCGGCGCCGCTTGCAGGCCAGGAGCAGCGCCTCGGCCGGCTCGGGGCCGCCGCGCTTCCGCCGCACGCGCAGCACGGCCGCGCCCGCCATGGCGCCCGCGGGAAGGGGCGGAGCGCCCGCACGGCGCCGGGCCCGCGGCTCGGGCTCTGCGGCGGCGGCAGCGGAGGCGGAGTGACCCCGTGTCCGGGACAGGGACACGCGGTGCCGGGGCGGGCACGAGCGGCGCTCGGGGCGGGCACACGCGGTGTCCGGGGTAGGCACACGCGGCATCCGGGGCGGGCGCACACGCCGTGCTCAAGGTGGGCACACGCGGTGTCTGCGGGAGGTACACACGGCTTGCGGAGCTGCCGGCCTGGGGCTCTGAGGAGGGACGAGCCCGCAGCTTCTCGGGCCCGCTGCGCTGGCTCCGGGCAGGGCATGGCGGAGAACGCTCTGGCCGTGCCCCATCGCAGCTCGTTCGTGAGGCGGGGAAGGTCCGGGCCTGTGCCCGTCCCTCCTCGGGCACGCTGTGGGGACTCCGGGAGAGGAGAGCCGCCGGCCCGACGTGCTCCCTTACGGGATGCTCTTCACCAGGATTTAGTGCTTAGTTTCTTTCCTGGGTTGTGTTCTCAGGGGTTACACCTAGATGATCTTCAGGGTCCCCTTTCACTGTAGGGTTAGGTGACAGATTTTAGCTTAAAACGTCCTTATGAAAAAAGCATAAAATTATCACCAGTACTTATGGTCAAGACGGGTGTAGTCGGGGAAATGTACACAAGCTAAAGTGGTACTTTTTGTGTTTACTAAAAATTTGTGGTTGGTTTGTTGTTTTTTTTTTTGGTTTTTTTTTTTTTCACAGTATTTGGTGTATTATATTGAAGCAAAGCTGCACACAATACATAAATATTACAATACAGCTTGAGATTGATCATGAAGACCTTTTGTGGAAGAGCCAATCCAACCACGGGCTCGATGGAGTGGCTGGAAGAGAGTGAGGACTATGACTACCACCAGGAGATTGCAAGGTATGCTTGGAAAAGTAGCTTGTTGCTTTAAAGGACAGTGAAAAATGAGCAAATCCAGCATTTTTTTAAGGGCAGTTTG